TTCACAGGGGTCGCCTAAGACCATTGGAAAACACATATATAATTACATGTTGTTTTTGTGATTAATCACTATGCTTTAATTATGTTCAACTTGTAACAATGAAATTGGGGGTCACCACAACATGAGGGACTGTATTAAAGGGTCGCGGCATGAGGAAGGTTGAGAACCACTGGACCTAGAAAGAGATCTAAGGCTGTCAGCCCCACAGACCGGGAGGCACCACCAGGCCTTGGGGAAATACTGGGGACGGAGGACACAGGAGTCAAATAACTTCTGAAAATGGAACCCTTTCAGGAGCAGGACGGGCACATCGGGAGGGTGAGCAGACACAGGGCTGGGAGGAGGTGGCTAAGGAAGCCGAGGCGCATGGGCTCTCGGAGGTGTCAGCGTCTCCTCCCCGGGACAGTGGTGACCCCAGCGTCCCCGTCAGCCCCCCACCCCCACCCCCGTCATTCCCGTCGGTGTGGCTCAGGCCCGACTCCTGCGGGCAGTTGGCTCGTGTCCTGCACGTGCACCTCCTGGCCGGTCCCCCCTAATGATCCATGTTGTAAACGTCCTGGGCATATCCCGGGGAGACGGAGGTGGCGCGGCTGTCTGTGCATGAAGGGACCGAGGAGGGGGCTTTGGAAGGGGACAGGGCTAGGCCCGGCCCGGCCCGGGAGGTGCCTCCTACAGGGGTGGTGACTCGGAGCTGAAGACCCAAGAGGAGTGGGTCCGCCCACCTCCCCCACCACCCCCTCTACCCTGGGCGTCTGTTTCACACACGTCACTGGGGTCACTGGATGCCACTGTGCACAGGACACAGATCACCAGAGTGGGAGCGTTTCCGTCCACCGACTGCCCGACCAAGGCCCTGGCTGTGGCCTCTCTCTGCCCTTCCTGTGTCCACAGAGAAACCCGGAGGCCGGCCGCTCCGTCTCTGCGGGTGCAGTGACACCAGGGAGGGCCACAGGGACCAGAGTCATGGGGGTCAGAGCTGTGGGGGGCGGGGTAGGCAGAGTCTTAAGAAAGGCTGTGGAGCTTTCATGGCTGTGAGCGTGTGAGGTGAGGCTGTTTACGTGGTGGGTTGTGGCGACCAGGCCGGGCCCGCACGGCAGGTCTCAGTGTCCGCCCAGCACGGGGACCCTCCCCTGACGCCTCAATAAAATAGATGGATGGTAACAAGCAATAGAAAACAAATAATAACGATGTGGAGAGGGGGAAGCGCGCTGCGGATGCACGGACGGCAAGTGGGCGGAGAAGAGGGGCGAGAAGTGGGCGGAGGACCGTGCGCCCCTCCAGGCCATCAGGGCGTGACCAAGGCCAGCTCGCTTGGAAATGACCTTTCGCTGGATGGACTGGGGATTCCGACACAGCCTTCCCACTGGACATGGAGAAGCTGCTTTAAAAACGTTCCTTTTGCTGGTTTGCTCAGTGGTTTCACAAACTGCTCTCCACAACCCAGACCATTCAAACAGACGCTTTCTCTTAAACGGCTGCATGTTTGATGGTTGTCTGGTGCGTGTGCCCCTCCAGCCTGGAGCGGGTCCTGGTCTGCCCCACAGTGACGTCCGTGTCTCATGGGTGAGGATGAGCCGTGTCCTCCCCGCCTGCCTGGGGCCCATCACTGCGACTCTGTTCTATTCCAATTAAGGGGTGGAGTGTCTCTCTCCAAACCCTCTTGCTCCTGAGACCATGAGATCTGCTTTGGCAAAGGGCACGTGAGCAAATGTGACACAAGTGGGAGTGTGAAAAGCCGTCATCTCCTCCCACTGCGGACCTTCCACCGTGACCAGCTCTGGAGGACCGGCAACCTGGGCGGAGAGGACCCTGCCTTCCCAACCGTCTGGCAGAGGCCCCATACCTGAGCGAGGCCACCGGGACCACCTGGCTGGGCGTGCACAGACCAGACTGCCCAGACCACCCACCACGTCCTGAGCACATCACTAACTGTTTAAAGCGACTGAGTCTGGGGGCCAGCTTGTTACACAGCCAACGCTAACTGATACACTTTCTGTTTTCCTTTGTTATACGTGGTTACTGCACATTATCAAAGGAACACAGTGTCAGCCCGTGGGCCCGCGGACCATTCACCCCATAGCGCGCTCCCTCGCTCCCTCCTGTAGCTCAGCAACCTCACACCTCACCCCCCAGGGGTCACAGTGGGGAGAGCAGCCGACACACCTCTATTCCCAAATCGCCGGAGCAGAATCGGACACGCACCTGATGGTCCTCCCGGGGTCGGCCTCGATGACCCAGGTGCAGTGCAGGTTGTTGTCGTAGGGCGCCGGGTAGCCGGGGGACAGCAGGCGCCCCGAGGTGGCCGCGTGGATCTGCCCACCGCACTCCGCTGCAAGACACAGACGTGGGGTCACACAGGGGTCACGGGTTATTTAGCCACAAGGACACAGCCCACCTGTCTGTGTCTCATACATAACCCACCACAGCCACCTCCCTGTCTCTATCGTTTCTTTCTGTTCTTGTTCCCAAGCATCGCCCTGAAGGAAAGACATCGTCTCTCAGGAAATTACAGCGGAGAGCAGAAAACCATGAAACACGCGTGCTGTAATTCTAATAATTTCCCTGCAGAGGTCTCAATGAAATGGAACTAGAACATCTGTCTTTCACACCTAAACACCTACACACAGCCTGGCCGGCGTGAGTCAGTGGTTGCGTGACGACCTATGAACCAGGAAGTCAGTGTTCCATTCCCGCTCAGGGCACAGGCCCGGGTTATGGGCACAATCCCCAGTGGGGGGCGCACAGGAGGCAGCCGATCCATGCTTCTCTCTCATCACTGATGCTTCTATCTCTCGCTCCCTCTCTCTTACTCTCTGAAATCAATAAAAATATATACATTTTAAAATCCTACACCAACGTCAGGAACATGAACTCGGCGGTGGGGACAGCAGTGGGAGCACCACGGCTCCGGCCGGGCCCCCGCGGGAGCGGGCCCCACTCACCCACGCAGGATGGCAGCGGCTGGTCCCACACTCTGCGGTCCCCGCTCAGGCAGGTCAGCGTGCTGCTGCCGTGCATGGCGTAGCCGGGGTTGCAGCTGAACACGACAGCGGTGTCCGCGAAGTGGCCGTCGTCCCGGACCCGGTAGCCGTAGCTGGGCACCCCGGGGTCCTCGCACTTCACCAGGTCGAAGCCTGCGGGGGGAGGGGAGAGTGAGCAGGGCCACGCGGACGCAGCCCGGGGTCGGGCCACCGAGAGAGGCTGTGGCCTCCCCCTGAAAGGTTCCCGCAGGATCAGCGAGGCCCGGTGGACGCTCTTCCCGTCACAACCTGTGACACCCTGTCGCCCACTGTGGCTCCCACATCCCAGCTGGTTGCCTCAGTGTAGCCCAGACCCCTGCAGCGACCACAAGCGACTTCCGGGCTAAGCTCAGCCCCCGCCCGAGAGGCCGCCCTGGAGCCTCCTCCTGAGCCTCCGTCCCCTGGACCGCACGGTTGGTGGGCGGGTGTCTCATCCTCGGGGGCGCTCCTGGGCGCGTGACTCTCGCCTCCCAGCAGGCAGGAGGCGGCAGGGACTCCGCCACGGCATCCCCAGGTGCCAACAGGAAGCACAGTCACGCGGTATGTGTCACTGGCTCTTAATTTAATCCCTGTGTGTTAATAAGTGCCTTCGACTCACATCTACGAGGCAGCTTCGAACGACATTCAGGGTCATTAAAACAACATTCACCGCTCGCCTGCCCATTCCAAAAAAACCCGCAGCCTGGGGTTCAAGATCATGAACGTAAACGCGTGTCTCCGACTGTCATACTCGCTGGCACATAAACACCGGGAGGTTTAAAATCGCCTTTGGTCAGAACATGAGTGACTGGGACCCCGGAATGGACCCCGCAGTGACTTACAAACCTGGACTGAGGGCGACAGGGTTCCGGCTCCTCCCTGAACTGATTTCCCAAGAGGAGACCCCCCCAGGCCTCCCCCCCCCCCCCC